TGGGATCAGGGATTGTGATCTTTGAATACTTTTTCTCCTATTCTTGCGATACTTACTGATCTTCTTTGATTTTGACTTCTTAGCGTCCCAGGTGTTGAGCTCATGACGAATCAATTTACGTTCGTCATCTGTGAGCTCTGTGGACATCGAATTCTTGTAGTTTTGACATTGACTCACACCATTATAGGTGTGGCACTGCTTGTCAAGTAAGTCCCACTGCACATGAATCGTAGAGTGCCTTACTAACATAGAAGTACCGTCTTCCGAAGTCAGATGGGTTTTTCTTCCCCATCGAAACTCGTAGAAAATGGAAGTGGTTTGCAGGAGCTGGCGGCATCTTCCACTCCCCAATGTACAAGTCAAGAAGTTCGAGTAATTTCTGTTCACGAAGAGACTGTGGCATTGAGAATGAGACAGAAAATGGTCATCTACATACAAGACAGCTGACATTAAATAAAGAATTCTCAATTGTATTTTGTTCAGAAATCGTTGTCAGACGAATAGAATAAAGGCTTTTGTTAGCCGTCTCCAAGAGCTTCGGACTTAACAGAGATTGATATGCTCAAGGATTATCTCAAATTTCCAAATGTGCCTTGGAATGACGCACATTTACTTCCTGATCGCATGATCGGGAAGTGAATGTGCGTCATCGTTTTGAGGTGCATCACACGAAGGTGGCATCAATCAACAAACCCAAATAAAAGCATCAACGTGGCGCTTGTTCAACGTTCAACGTTCAACATCGACTCACTTGTTTCTCCAGCAGTCGAGAAACTACATGGCTTGCCAGGCGCCTTGGTTTTGCCAGGCCTCTGCATGGGTGTAGCTCTCAACTGTGGCTCCTCGGACATAACCATCATGCCGCTCGAGGTCGAATCCTCTGAAACAATCGACAACGGGCCAAGATCTCTTTTCAAGTCATCTAACATCTGGTTTTCTCGACCAAGGAGTACCGCAATCCGCTTGCAGGCACCCATTTCTCCTGAGAGGTTCTTTACTGTTACTTTCATGCAGGTAAGGATCATCTACGCTCTTCGTCAGTTTCAACTGATCCTCCTCACACTTAAAGCCTTTTCAGGTAGCGAGTGTAGAAGTTAAAATTTCGCGCCACCCACTAGCGAGATCAAGAAAACGAGACACCACTCAAAGATCGTCACCCAGCAAGCCTCACAACCTTGTGTATTGATGTGGCAGATGACCATGGACAGGAGTGATCGCCGGATACTTGGAGGATGTAGGTCCGTTCAATGTTAAAGTTTCAGCCGTTGCTGATGTGCCCTAAGGTCAGCAGAAGTCAAGTTGGCTCGATAGTACTGTTCGGTGGGGCCATGATCTCAAACATACCACGGGTTGTTCGGAGACTTGGCATCTCTTCCATTCCGCTTGTTTGCATGCCCTGTATATGGGGCCATGCTGTGTTAGTCAAATTGATTTGGTCTGGTAAGTGAGATTTCATCTGCTCCACTCCTTTTCTTTTGCTCACTAGTCCGACCTAGAGCTACAATTAGTGCTTGGAAGTTAGGTTAATTAACTGGAAAATAACCGAGACCAGACCGGACCTAACTGCAAAAAAACCGGACCGCAGTTAGTGGTTAGTCAATTCTGGAAATGAAATAACCGGTTATTTTGC